GGCCCCCGGGGACAGAGGGGGGCGGGGGGGGGGCGGACGGGGCAGGATGCTCCGGCGCCCGCCTCCAGCGCGGTCGCCCCCCGGCTCGTGCCCTCCCAACCGGGCGCCCCACATAGTGAAAACGGGCGCCCTTTACATCGGGCTCTTGTGGCCGCCCCCGGCTTGGGTCCTGCACGGGAGCCACCGCCAGGCACCAAGGGTGCTCCCTCCCCCATTGGACCGCCCCAAGCCAAGGCTGCCACCGCGCAGACCCGCGCCCGGCCGCTTCTCCCACCGCAGACGACGGCTGCGCTGACTGCAGCTGCCCCCCACCCCCGGGCCCCTCTGCCCGGGGAGCCGGTCGCGGGTGGTCCCCCAGCCCGGGAGCTGGAGAGAGCCCGGCGCGCAGGGGCCAAGACACCGGGCCCGCCCCCTTGCTGGAGCCGGGCAACCCCAGGGGAGGCCGGGCTGGCCGGTGCGGTGTTTCACCGAGGCCGGTGCCCGGGGATCTGGGGTTTCCGCCTTGCCGGGCCGTGCTGGTAGGGTTGGGGCCTCTCTCGGCGGGAGGGCGCGCCTCGCCGCCGTCGCCGCCGCCGTCGCCGCCGCCGCCGCCGGACTGCACGCCTCCCTTCGCCGTCCACTTGCGAGCCACACTTGATGGTCGTTTGTTGATGCTCCCGTCTCCCTCCCTCTCTCTTTCTCTCTTTGTCTTGCCCCTGCCTCCCCACGGCCGTCTGTTACAAAAGGCGGGGGCGACACCCAGATCACCTTCACCGGACCCGGTGCAGGTGGGACGGGGCACCGGCTCCCCGGTGGAGGGGTTCGCCCCTTTCCCGTGGCGGTCCGCGCCCAAGCGCTCGCCCGCACCACTACTACCGCCACCCAGCCAGGAGCCGTGTCCGGGCCCGGGGCGGAGGAGGGGCATATGCGCTGGCCCCCGCCCGCCCGCCCGCCCGCCCGCCCGCCCGCCCGGACACCGGGCCCCCTCCGGTGGGCCGCCGCCGGTCACCCGACAGCCGCGCGTGTCCGAGCACACAGGCCTAATTGCGTAGATGCCTGCACCGTAGCCCACGCAGCTACGTGCTCCCAAGCTCTTGGGCGGCTAGGGTCGTGGAGGGGGAGGGACAAGGCCGGGCAGTTTTTCCGGCCACCGGTCCCCCTCCGGCCTGAGTGGCCGTTTCGGCTCCGGGGCCCCTCCGGTCGCCGGGCCGCGTTTACGGCCGGGCCGGATGCCATGGCACTCTCCCGCCCCTGTTTGAAGCGCGCCAAAGAGCCCCCCCCCCCCCCCCCCCCGCCAGGG